ATGAATACTCATAAGGTTAACATGGGGAACTACAGAGCCACTGGGGCGGAGCCCGAAAGGATTTTTGAGATAAGAATGTGCCTATATGTTAATCGGGAATCTGAGCTATCGTCATGCCAAATTTCAGCCCAATCCGTCCAGCGGTTTATGCGTGATTGAACAAATAAACAAACAAACACACAAACTTTCACATCTATACTATTATACTGTATAAAAATCTAATGGTGTCTGTCTGTATGTGTATTACTAATAGGTGCAAAAACTACTGAACCAACTGGGCTTAACTTTTACAAAAATATAGCTACCATACCAAGGACCATTATAGGACTATTCACACTTTGATACTGACCGTGGGCTTTGCCCCTTTGGCTTTAAAAGTTCTGAGGTGAGGATTTTAAAAGTAAATATTGATTTGTCTCCATGGCTGCAATGAGAACACTAATAATGTTTGTTTACATTTGCTTTGACATTTCAAAGTAAACAAGAAGAACTGCTAAATTGCATATTTTACAATTTCAGACAGCTGATAGAAAGAGATTAAATATAATATTTTCCATAACTATGAGGTAGGTTTTTTAATCTAAAGTTTTATCATGGATTATTTATTCTAAAACTATGTCAATGAGTATAGAAAAGATTCTATAACCGTTGCTGAATCAACTCCGGCTCTGCTTTGGATTTTTTAAAGCGCAGTTATGAAAATAATGTTATTGGTATGTTTTCATGGAAACAGTATGAAAATTACAATGTTTAGGTGGTTTGTATGAATTTGAAGGCATTGTTTTATAATTTCGAACTGCTCAACATGTGCTGGATAAACTTAACATAACTTACACTTCACATAGATTTTTTTATTTGGGTAAATTTAGTAATTGTGTTTTGCTACACCAATGATTAAATCACATTAAGAAAAATATCATAAAACTTAGCTGTACACAGTGTTCTTTTGTTTCTAAAATCAATTATGTCTGTTACTATGTTTACTCAATGGTAAGTGTGAAAATGTAATGAAAAAGGATTATGGGACTAAATAAAAAAACTAATTTGTATATTATGTTGGTCGTTGATATTTTGTAGAGTAAAATCATAGATGCAATGAAACATATACCGTATTACTATTAAATATTATTCGTCCTTGATCTCGATGTTTTGATAAACATTAGTTTTGTCTGCCATCTTAAATGCCCAATTTCATGTGTAAATTAAAAATAAATAATAAGTACTAAATATATAAAAACAAATGTGTTAAGGGTGGGGATAGGTTTGTTTACCTTGGGGCAGAGCTGAATAGCAAAAACACTGTTGCGCAAGAAATCACAAACTGAATCATGGCTGGTAACAGAGCATATTATGCTAACCTTGAAACATGAAATCCTGAAATCACAATCCTGAAATCCAAGCTGATGCCCCGCAAGACAAAGATGAAGCTGTACAAAACTCTCATTAGGCCTGTTGTTATGTACAGTGCAGAAACCTGGTCTCTTTCCGACAGTGCAGAAACCTGGCCCCTTTCCGCATTGACACAAAGGCCATTCGGGTTGAATTTAGTTTGTAAAAGCGTTGGCGAACGTTTATATTTTATACAACAGATGTAAAGATAAAAATGTTTCGATTTCAGGTCCTCTTCCCGTTGCAAAGCACGGGTACAACAGCTAGTTTATAATATTAGTAAGATTTTCATAGTGTGTGCGACTTGGTCATATATTTACTAAAGAACTGGAGAAATAATTAATGCATTCTCTTTTCTTACGATCTGATTATGGATACGCCATTATAATCTACGGGTTGTATCTTGGACTATCAATTTATCCCTAGCAATATTTTAGTAGCTTAAAACCAAATTTGACCATTTTAATGTCAGTCATTATAGTAATTTTCTTTACACTTCAGGACCATGTTCTCACTCTACGTACATTTAAAGTATGTATACACCCAAACTGTAAGCACCTGTTTGTTAGAGAATTCTTCATACCCAAATCTTGTTACATTCTATAAAAATTGCGTTGCAAAACAGCAGTTTGCAATCATACAATGACAAAATAACACTGAAATTTTAAAATAAGAGAACATTTTTACACGGAATCTTGTTCCTGGCCTAGTCTTATTACGTTTTTATATCACAGAATATAGACCTAACGGTAGGTCTATATTCTGTGGTTATATTCTCTACCTAACAACGAATACATGTTTTATATATATATATGTTGTCCACACTAATAAATACAATAAATAAATAAATACTAATAAATACACTAGTAAATACAATATTTTGTATTGTAAAAGCCACAGCTCTTCGAAAACTTTAGAAATTATTTAAAATTATGTTTCTAGATACACAGTATGCAGAGAGTGGCCACCTGGCTTAGAACAAATCTGCAGTCAAATGGAAATTCTTTGTTATTGAAATCTTCAATGTAAATTCCTCGTGAATCGACCCACTTCATCCACTTCTTGATTCGACCACTTTTGAGGAAGACAGAAGATTCATGGCAATCTATGGATAATCGATGATTCAGCTATTTAATAAACCAGATCGACCGTGTCGGCGAGTCCTCACGTCGCTTGTCGCTGCGACGGTGTGGTTATGTGCCAAGAGGGCCTCACAAACACGCAGATATGTCGTGCTCACTAGGTCAAATCTGCACGAGAACCGAATAACATATGAGTTTATTGTTTGTGTCATAGAATAACCGTTAAAGGCATTCTTGGGACATTCTCCTTTATATGAAACAGTTCTCGGCCTAAGAGTACCTAGCTCTGAAACCTTCACAAATGTTACTTGAGACAGGCTATTGAGAGAGTTTAGCAATAGTCGACGTTCTTTCAGGTAGCTAGTTTTTTGCAGAGAACAAGCCTGTGCGCAGCATGGTTGGAGTGTGTTAATCAACAGTTGTCGTATTTTCATAGTGATATCTCTCTCGATTCACTCATACTACAATATTGCCAGTGATCGGCTGTGAAAGGCCTAACAGTACCACGACTTGAAATATGGCTGGGTTTTCGTTCAGCTAACCCTTTTACCTGAATGACGGATTTTTCACAGATTGTGACACGACATTGGAACTCATTGCTGTTTTTCATGGCTATGTACTTTTCTATATCACGTATATTATGTTCAAACAATTAATCTTATGATGTGATGACAACCTAAAAGTTGTATTCCAATCCTTTTTGGAGGTAGATAGTCTACTGCACAAAAAAAACTATGAACTCTGTCACCAGTCCATCCTATTCTGCATAATATGCTCTTACGAGGCCAAATAAATTACCCGGCTTCAAAAAAACAACCTATAAATCTTAAAGTTAGTATATATCTAAATTTTAGGTTATAGACATATCTTTGAAATAATTTGCATCACTTTACTGACGAAAAGGAATTACTGGTAGTGAAACATATCGTTAATTAGGAAGAAGTAATTTAGTGGGCTGTTGTAAAAGGCGTTTCATTCTGATGACAGCACCTAATATTTTGCATACTTTCTCCGATTACCCTCAGTAATGCTGGTGTCTTACTCGTTTTTATGCCTACATTATTTAAACCACATCTATAATGTTGTAGCGGCTATGCTCGACTTCCTTATGCCCAAGCCTACATTACTGTAGCTCGTTGTAGCGGCCAAGCTCGGTGACGTGTGCTACTCCGACACTCACTGTCGACTCTGTGAGAAAGGCTGACACTGTGACTTCCTCATCCACAAGCTGTAGGCATATGTGTAGTCCTACATTACTGTAGCTCTGTATCTGATGTTGTAGCGGCCAAGCTCGGTGACGTGTGCTACTCCGACGGCGACACTCACTGTCGACTCTGTGAGAAAGGCTCCCACTGTGACTTCCTCATCCCCAAGCTGTAGGCATATGTGTAGTCCTACATTACTGTAGCTCTGTATCTGATGTTGTAGCGGCCAAGCTCGGTGACGTGTGCTACTCCGACGGCGACACTCACTGTCGACTCTGTGAGAAAGGCTCCCACTGTGACTTCCTCATCCCCAAGCTGTAGGCATATGTGTAGTCCTACAATACTGTAGCTCTGTATCTGATGTTGTAGCGGCCAAGCTCGGTGACGTGTGCTACTCCGACGGCGACACTCACTGTCGACTCTGTGAGAAAGGCTCCCACTGTGACTTCCTCATCCCCAAGCTGTAGGCATATGTGTAGTCCTACATTACTGTAGCTCTGTGTAAAGGAGGGTAGCCTCTAGCCTGGGCAAGCTAGGTTGATGACCTGTGGTCAGGCCTTGCTTGCTGTGAAGCGTGCTGGAGGTGTTTTGTAAACACTGAGGGCTTTGCACTCAGTAGCTGTCAGATCAATAAATAGGCCACCTGAGGTAGGGAAAGGGGTCAGTTGCCCGGGGCAAGGTGCCCAGGAGAGTTGGGTGAATACTGGTTTCTCTATCTTGGGGTTAGGCCCTGTAGTCGGGAGTTTGTACGGGAAGTTTTGATTTAAGGGGACTGTAAGTTAGTTGGGGTTTTGTGTTTTGTTTTGAAGGAATTCTTTTGGGGATTAATACTTTGATTTGATTAGATTACAAGGGAATAGTTTCACTTCGTTTTTGGGGATTATAAATCTAAGATTCAAGCTACCTCCAGAGCGGTTCTTACCAGGCATTTGTTAGTAGGCTATACTTAAGAGTAACTGTCACTGTATTAAAGCTTGATTACTTTAGACAAATTAAAATCCTATTTGATGAACACAATCTGATTCTCTTATTGAACAGCTACCCAGCTCATAGCATAAAGTAGAATAAGTTTAAAGATTCGGGTTTGCTATAAAGCTACGCTCCCATGTGCGTATGCAGAATAACATATGAAAAGCGAGGGGGTTTTCTGCATATCACATCTGTATCTGATGTTGTAGCGGCCAAGCTCGGTGACGTGTGCTACTCCGACGGCGACACTCACTGTCGACTCTGTGAGACAGGCTGACACTGTGACTTCCTCATCCCCAAGCTGTAGGCATATGTGTAGTCCTACAATACTGTAGCTCTGTATCTGATGTTGTAGCGGCCAAGCTCGGTGACGTGTGCTACTCCGACACTCACTGTCGACTCTGTGAGACAGGCTCCCACTGTGACTTCCTCATCCCCAAGCTGTAGGCATATGTGTAGTCCTACAATACTGTAGCTCTGTATCTGATGTTGTAGCGGCCAAGCTCGGTGACGTGTGCTACTCCGACACTCACTGTCGACTCTGTGAGACAGGCTCCCACTGTGACTTCCTCATCCCCAAGCTGTAGGCATATGTGTAGTCCTACAATACTGTAGCTCTGTATCTGATGTTGTAGCAGCCTAGCTCGGTGACGTGTGCTACTCCGACACTCACTGTCGACTCTGTGAGACAGGCTCCCACTGTGACTTCCTCATCCCCAAGCTGTAGGCATATGTGTAGTCCTACAATACTGTAGCTCTGTATCTGATGTTGTAGCGGCCAAGCTCGGTGACGTGTGCTACTCCGACACTCACTGTCGACTCTGGGAGACAGGCTCCCACTGTGACTTCCTCATCCCCAAGCTGTAGGCATATGTGTAGTCCTACAATACTGTAGCTCTGTATCTGATGTTGTAGCGGCCAAGCTCGGTGACGTGTGCTACTCCGACACTCACTGTCGACTCTGGGAGACAGGCTCCCACTGTGACTTCCTCATCCCCAAGCTGTAGGCATATGTGTAGTCCTACAATACTGTAGCTCTGTATCTGATGTTGTAGCGGCCAAGCTCGGTGACGTGTGCTACTCCGACACTCACTGTCGACTCTGTGAGACAGGCTCCCACTGTGACTTCCTCATCCCCAAGCTGTAGGCATATGTGTAGTCCTACAATACTGTAGCTCTGTATCTGATGTTGTAGCGGCCAAGCTCGGTGACGTGTGCTACTCCGACGGCGACACTCACTGTCGACTCTGGGAGACAGGCTGACACTGTGACTTCCTCATCCCCAAGCTGTAGGCATATGTGTAGTCCTACATTACTGTAGCTCTGTATCTGATGTTGTAGCGGCCAAGCTCGGTGACGTGTGCTACTCCGACACTCACTGTCGACTCTGGGAGACAGGCTCCCACTGTGACTTCCTCATCCCCAAGCTGTAGGCATATGTGTAGTCCTACATTACTGTAGCTCTGTATCTGATGTTGTAGCGGCCAAGCTCGGTGACGTGTGCTACTCCGACACTCACTGTCGACTCTGTGAGACAGGCTGACACTGTGACTTCCTCATCCCCAAGCTGTAGGCATATGTGTAGTCCTACATTACTGTAGCTCTGTATCTGATGTTGTAGCGGCCAAGCTCGGTGACGTGTGCTACTCCGACACTCACTGTCGACTCTGTGAGACAGGCTCCCACTGTGACTTCCTCATCCCCAAGCTGTAGGCATATGTGTAGTCCTACAATACTGTAGCTCTGTATCTGATGTTGTAGCGGCCAAGCTCGGTGACGTGTGCTACTCCGACGGCGACACTCACTGTCGACTCTGTGAGACAGGCTGACACTGTGACTTCCTCATCCCCAAGCTGTAGGCATATGTGTAGTCCTACAATACTGTAGCTCTGTATCTGATGTTGTAGCGGCCAAGCTCGGTGACGTGTGCTACTCCGACACTCACTGTCGACTCTGTGAGACAGGCTCCCACTGTGACTTCCTCATCCCCAAGCTGTAGGCATATGTGTAGTCCTACAATACTGTAGCTCTGTATCTGATGTTGTAGCGGCCAAGCTCGGTGACGTGTGCTACTCCGACACTCACTGTCGACTCTGGGAGACAGGCTCCCACTGTGACTTCCTCATCCCCAAGCTGTTTGGTCGCTGTGTGTGTACGCCGCCCCTCAGACAGAGCAAGCAGGGTGCTGCATGTCTACCCCCGGTGTGGCCTGCACGTCCTCACAGGCCCTCTTCCACATCATCTAATCCTCACCTACAGGTAAATTTTGATCACCACTAGCTAAGTATGTAAGCTAGGTAAAGAATTTGTGTAAATCGATTCACAACTTTATCTTTCATATTGCAAGCATGATTTTATTTACGAGGAAGTTTCCTCCAGAACCCTAGGCCTTCTCAAGGGTGGTAAGTGAAAGAGTGGGTATCTTACACTTCCATTTATTCAGTGCTTTTCTTATCCTAACACACAGGTTTCTATGTAAAATTGTATATACAATCTTGATCCTGGGTCCGTAGTCCTACTACCATGCAGTGTCTCCGGGCTCGTGTTCAGGGTTTGGGCAGAGGTCAGATCAGTCCTTGCGTGCGTCCTTACTGGCCCGGTGGTCTATGAGACTCTGACACTCCTAAAATATATCCGTGTGGGTCCGCGGTCTAGATCCTGAGTACCTTCACCCCAGAATCCTTAGTCCCCTAGCTGCTGCTCTCCACTGGAGACTGTTCTGGCTTTCCTGCACAGAAGTTTAGCACTCTCTAGACAATCTGCTCGGTCTGCAGTCCGGCGTGAACTCATTGTCGTCAATACTCAACGTATACCAATTTGTATACCAACTATCTCAAGGTGGGGGAAGACTACATAAGTCCTCCCCTCCACCTATGACTACGGACTCACGGGCTAAAAACTCCCATGCAAGGGTGTCGGGGGCTCGACATGCTTGTCCGACGGTGCCGGGGGCTCGACACGTCCGTCCAGCAATACCCGGGGCTCAGCACGCCCATCAGCTGTCCCGCGGGCTCGACATGCCTGTCCGACGGTGCCGGGGGCTCGACACGTCCGTCCAGCAATACCCGGGGCTCAGCACGCCCATCAGCTGTCCCGCGGGCTCAACACGCCCATGCAGGGATGCCGGGGCTTGACATGCCTGGTGCCAAACCCCCTGGTTTTAATTCCGCCGAATGGTACCCAAGTGGTGGGGGGTGAATACCTTATCTCCCCTATCGGAGCATCTTTCCCCTCCTTTGGAATCATTCTTGTGTCTCCGAGTACTTCAATTTGTACATTTAACCTCAAAATTATCATAGAGGTAAAACACTTCTTTACATATTTATCACGCATTTATTTATTACTTAACATTATTTCTTGTAACAAGGCCAGAAGTTCTTGTAACAAGACCAGAAGTTCTTGCAACAAGACGAGAAGTTCTTGTATTATTGCCAGAAGTTCCTGTAATAAGGCCAGAAGTAGTTGTATTTAAAATACAACTATAGAAACATTTGTGTTCTGAAAATGGAATTGCAATACATAATCCTACTTTATATAGTACAGGTAAAATAATACAAAAACACTCCATATAAACAACAAAATTTGTACATTCATGAAATTTCACCTGTGAGTTACTAATAATATGAGAAATGAAGATCCGATGAGTCCCCAAAATTTTGGGCGTCCTAAGGCCCTTTTTGGGGCCCTTTTTGTTCCGAAGGGCCCTTGTTCCTGAGTAATTTTGTTTTTACGTTTAAGATCGAGTGTGGTGTGGTTTTCGATGGTTTTAGTTATTTTAAATCGATTGGGACTAGTTTTAAGTGTATAAAACCACTCTATACAGGGTGTTTCGAAATATTATTACTTTTTACGATATTTAAACATTTATTCATAAAGTGATAAAATTAGTTACCTCCATGATCTATATAAAAGGGGATTATTGAAAATTACTGTAATTCTTTACTATATAAGAGGGAAGGATCACAAGGAGTAAGAGAAAATATTAAATACACCCTGTCACAGCAAACCTGCAGACTAAGCGAATTTTCATTCACCCCGATTTTCAAATAAATCTAAAATAGCATTGAGTTTAATGAATACTTAGGTTTGCTGCTACAAGGAGGCTAATAAAGTGTGTTTATAGTAAAATATTAATAGCCTAATATAATACATTTGACAAGATTTATTAAGACATATCTATAAACAAACAAACAAAATCATTTTACACTATTCTCCTTAAGAATAACATGAAATTTTAAATTTACAATTTTTGAATTTTTTCGTAACTAATACACTTACAAAAAACGTTAATATACTAAATTATTTGTTTTCTTTAAGCTCTTTAAAATGCTCTAGAGAAAAAATTGGGAAACTTTGTCTTTTGAGGGTCAAAGATTACAAAATTTTACCACATAAAACCCTGTTCCATGGACCGATTATGCCGGTTTCGTTAAAATTGAACCAAAATTACTCGAGTTATCATGTTTACGGACACGTATATAACATGGATATATTATATTTTATATATGTATATAAACACATACATATATAATTAGTTTGAGTGGGTGGTGCTTTAGGCTTCTGGGGGCATCGAAATGAAAACGTAAATCGGTTTCGGGTCCATGTTTTACCATAAGACCTTCCGTAATAGCTTATCTCCTATATGGGATGTTCGCTAAAAGGGGATGGATTAAGTTTTACACTATAACATAATAACATAGGTTGCTAAGCAAAAATTTCAACTTTTAAGGTGGGGTGAATATTCTTTCAACGTGTTTTTTATGCAAAAGACCAATTTCAAATTGATATGTATTTTTCTTAGGTAGTTATTTAAGTTATTTTTTTACATTTATTAAAAATTAAAACAATTGTATTTGTATAAAACCTTACATTAGCCTACATATTAAAATGAAGTACTTAAACTAAAGCTATTTTTCTACAATTTCCGTAGTATCTCTCTTTACAATTTCATAATCACAATAATTATTCTTAGACCGGTAACAATTTACCGGTAACAATTTTATTATTCTTAGCAACTTGCCCATCTTTACTGATTTTGTCCAAGTTGGTGATCAAGCAGGATTCCACTTTAAAAACCTAAAACCTTGCATATTGCAGAACAGGCAACACCAATCTTAAAGCACGAACAATGTGGTGCAAAAACACCTCTCATACATACTGACGTTTGCAACTTGTATCTTAAGTTCCTCAAACTTATTTTCAATCAATAAAAGTACGGTTATCTTTCGTGGTTATGACGACCACGACAGCACCAAGACATCAGAGCAGCATTGTCGGTACAAGCATTTTTGTCCTGAACAATGGGAACGAGGTTTATGGGGTAAAAATTGGGTTTTCTTATTTACTTTACCCTCAAAACACAAAGTTTCCCAATTTTTCTCTAGAAAATTTTAAATAGCTTGAAAACAAATAATTTATTATATTAACATGTTTTTGTATGGTTATTAGTTACGGGTAAAAATACTAAAATTGTAAATTTAAAATTCCCATGTTATTCTTATGTAGAATAGTGTAAAATGATTTTGTTTGTTCGTTAATAGATATATTTTGAATCAAACTTGTCAAATTTATTTGTTTTATACTAGGCTATTGATATTTTACTATAAACACACTTTATTAGCCTCCTTGTAGCAGCAAACCTAGGTAATCGGTAAATGCAATGCTATTTTAGATTTAATTGAAAATCAAGTAAGTAAAACGGAAATTTGCTAGGTCTGCAGGTTTGCTGTGACGGGGGTATTTAATATTTTCTCTTACTCCTTGTGATCCTTCCCTCTTATATATTAAAGAATTACAATTATTTTCAATAATCCCCTTTTATATATAGCATGGAGGTAACAAATTTTATTACTTTATGAATAAATGTTTAAATATCGTAAAAAGTAATAATATTTCGAAACACCCTGTATGGTGTGGTTGAATACACTTAAAACTAGTCCCAATCGATTTAAAATAACTAAAACCATCGAAAACCACACCTCACTCGATCTTAAACGTAAAAACAAAATTATTCAAGAACAAGGGCCCTTCGGAACAAAAAGGGCCCCAAAAATGGCCTTAGGACGCCCAAAATTTAGAGGACTCATCGGATCTTCATTTCTCATATTATTAGTAACTCACAGGTAAAATTTCATGAATGTACAAATTTTGTTGTTTATAAAACCCTATTTTACCTGTACTATATAGGTTTACTAGCAAACCTGTCGTGGCTTAACTCACACAATTTTAAATTAAAAAGGTAAATGTTCAACTTGAGTAGGGCCTATACTTCTTGTTTTTTTATTTTTTTATTTTTTTATTTTTTATTATTCACTTAACTATTAAAAATGTGTTATGCAGGAAAACTAGTGGATGGATCGTGCGTAAACATTTCTCTCGTGTCAAGCAAAGGCAGTTTGAACACGTGTGACACATTATATTTTTTTACAGTTACAGTTATAAATCATATAAATAATTACTCTTTTAAACACTGAACACCTCGTTTTTAGGTTAGGTTAAATTCAAACATTGAACGAAATGGGAAACGCAGCGCCAGCTAATCGTAGTCGTAATATCTTTAAGTGTTTCCAATCTATTTCCAAGCGTACACGGATTACGTGCACAATAAAAGTACGCTGTTTTGTGTAGTTTGGTTGGAATACTGGTGTGCGACAAAGTAAAAACTGTGTGCCAAAGTCAATAAATGCAGCAATTATTTATTTTTTTTTTAGCAGCTTCCTGTACTATAATCTGTGCAAGGAAGCTCACTTTGTCGGGTGACTGTAGGAAATAGTTATTTGTGTAACTAGTGGTGAAAGTGGCACTTTGCTGCACACGAGAGCAATGTTGCGGAATGATCTCGAGTGCAGCAAAGGCCTTTTTCACTCGTGTTACACATTATATTTTTCTTACAGTCACTTTAAAGCATATAAATAATTAGTCTTTCAAACACTATACAACACGTTTTTAGGTTCAGCTGGCAACACAAATGGTGCCCTAGAGAAAGTAGTACCCGCGGTCCGTATCACTCCGCTATTTTTCCTCGGCAAGAAATGTGCTCCGCGTTTTGAGAATATAGTTCCGTATGTTTTTGTAATTTGAAGTGGTTTCCGTGCCTAAAAAAATGCTTTAAAGGTATTTTCTTGTTTATTAAGATCGTAGGAATGTTTTAAAAACGTTTAAAAGAAAAGTCCAGTAAGTTCAGAAATACCGAAACTATAAACACGAAATGACAGGTTAAATCGTAGTTATAATAGTCAATCAGCTGCTCATAGTATTATTATCTTTAAGTGTTGCCAACCTATTTCCAAGCGTACACGGATTACGTGCATAATAGAACCACGCTGTTTTGTGTTGTTTCGTTGGAATCCTGATGTGCGGCAAAGTATAAACCGTACGGCAAAGTATAAATATGCAGCAATTAGCAGCTTTCTGTACTATAAACAATACAAGGAAGCCAACTTTGTCGGGTGACTGTAGGAAAACACTTTTTCAAGCCACAAAAATAACGTAAATATTTTCATTTCATGTAATAAAATATAACCAGCTGTCCCCTCAGTTAAAAGTGCAGATTCAAAAGTATTCATGTGTTCAAATCTAAACAAATCATTTTTCCACAAGGACAACATGGGAACTTTAAAAGCCACTGGGGTAGAGCCCTGATGGATTTTCTTGAAAACGCTTACTATTGCAAACCAACAAGGGTCGATTGGAACATCCATGTCAATTCCTGAGTTGTTATGGCTTGTAGTTTTTGAGATACAGTGATCAGTGAGTGAGTGGTATTTGACTTTTATGAGTGTAGAAGAATACAGCTCTGACGGGTTGTTTATGGATACTTACTCCGACTTTTCAATCCTACATTGGTGACTGATAAATTCGGAATGGATTGTGTCGATTATAATATAGACTCGACTAAAGATAACATTTAAATTAAATGACGATGGGTTGACAGAACGTGGCACATCGTCGAGATAATTCATGTATAAATAGTATAAAGAGGTCTGTTTGAAAGCCTCCAACTCTAGCTCACGTACTGTTTTCCTGTTGCTGTTGTTCATACTGTAGGCCTACTTGCTGTAAACGGTCAGTACCTTAAGGTCTTTGAAAATATATGTGCTGTAGTAAGGTAACCAGCGGTAAACACCCTTAAAGTTATCGTCTGATAGAGCAGGATGTCGTGAGTTGCAGTGGAATAACCCAAAGTGGACTGCCATTGCTTTGAATTGAAAAAGAGCATGGCGTACAGTCATTAGATATGGACTGGAGATAACCAACACAAATTTTCTAAGAAGATATCGCTAAACCCGGGGTCAATCCAGAATCCCAGGAGTTTGATAACTACTTCAACCAGGTGGTCAGGCTTTAGCGTAGATAGCAGTGCTTGGATTTTCCTTCATTAATTTTTAGCAGGGATTTATTGATCCACGCCTTTTCTCTAGCCACTTATCAGCGTGGTTCGTCTCAATCAGCAGGGTTTTTTTGCTTGGGGGACTTTGAGCTGCAAACGCTTCACGCCAGAGCACGAACTTCTCTATGTCAGGATAAAGAACTTTCCACGTAGGATAAATCCTATAGAACCACGCCGTTTACCTCGTACCTCCTGCGCTTGGACACATTTACATGAGAGACAACATACTGTAATATATTTTGCTTTAGTCGCACATAATTAGTACAACTGAGTCCATAGCTTCAAAAGCATCAATCATTTGGTTGACAAGCTAAGCTTGGTAGCAGAGTGCTGTTGTGGAGGATTGTCCGTCCGAAAACTACGTTGGGAGTTTTCAAATAGGTTACTGACTCAAATCTTTCGGGTAGTTGGGTCTTCAAGACAGACTCTTTACTTTATAGGTAGTGGTAGTAGCCAATATGACTTTGCGCCTGAAGATAACAACTTTGTCCGCTATTTCTGATAAAACAATTGTTGTAGTCATCAGGGAACCTGCCGTTATGTACATGTAAGTCGTAGGGTGGTTTGTGAGTGTTAACAATGTCCCCTGTTTATTTACATGTATTGGACGCCTATTGTATCGAAGACACATTGAAACTTGTTATACTTCATTCGCTTTTATATGACACAGTCTATTATTGTGGATATATCAGATATATTTTTTCTTCTTGCTGAGGAACATTGGAAGTTTTATAAAAATGGTGTAGGATACAGGTATAAGAGCGCAGTTTGGCCAAGTCCTTCATATACCAGGATCTGTCACTTTGGGGTTTATAAATTCATTATTCGGGATCTAGCCTCAATTATTTTCAGGACTACTAGAGGACCCATGCTGCTCTGCGGCGTTAAAATAAATATGATATCCAAGAAATAATTAAATTTATGCGTTTTGATTGAGTAATACAGTATCTTGAGCTTAACTGATTCAAACGATCAATAGCTCAAATTAAAGCCTATAATATAATGATTATTTTGAGTCTATAGGACACGTGCGTTATAGGACTATAGTACGTCTATAGGACTTCAGCGTTAAAACAATTATAATATCCGAGAAATAATCAATTTTATGAGAAAAAAATCATATAGAAAAACATTACCAATACTGGTGCTATTAATTTTTAATCATATGAAAACCTTATAAAAAATAATTTTTATGTTGGTTTTTCACCTTGCGTTTGCTTGAAACTCGAACGATTTAAAAAAAAATAATAGCTTAGATGAAAGCCAGTATTTCACTGAAGGTTCTTAGACTAAAATATATAGGATTAAAAAATTATAACTGGTGAAGGTACATCTTGAATTAAAGTAAGAATTAGAAAATAAATCAAATTATGTGTTTTGGTCCATTGATCGAGTAATACAGTAGGTAAATATTTGCCGATGATTTATGAGAAAAATTGACGTGCATGCCTTCAATTTGAGACCTCAATCATAAAATCGGTCGGGTAGAAGAGCCAAACGAACTTGGAAAAAACCAAATTAAACTCACATAAGAAATACATGGGGAGAAAATTTCGTTAACGTGTAAGCCGAGTGGGATTATAAATTAATACATGCCGATGCTTGATGGCAACTCTGTGCGTGCATAACTTCATTTTGAGACCTCAACCATGTTAATCGGTCGGGTAGAAGAGCCAAACGAACTCGGCAAAGAAAAACCAAATTTAACACCCATAAGAAATACATAGATGCTCGTTTACGTATATGCCGAGTGAGATTATAGATAAATACATGCCAATGATTGATGACAAATCTGTGCGTGCATACCTTCGATATGAGACCTCAATCATGAAAATCGGTTCGGTAGAAGAGCCAAACGTAGTCGGAAAAGAAAAACCAATTTTTTTTTTTATTTAAGATTTAATCAAACTTGTCCTCGAAAATGTACAACAATCATACAGTAATTAATGGCATAACATTAATCATCATTATTCATGATCCTTTAAATAGAAACATAAATTTATGTATCAATCAAGCTTTTCTTAGTACTGTAGGGGTGGTGATTGGCCACAACGGGTTTCTGGATGTTCGTTTCCCAGTCCCATGAGTCAATGTTTGTAGCTATGGAGTCGAGGCACGTCTCCTCACGTGTCTATTGTCTTTTAGTGAGGTACAGACCGTAGCTGCTGAGTGCGGAATAGGCTGGGGAGTATGTCCTCTGGATTGACACCATAAGGTAGATGTCGAAGTCTACACATAAAACTATTTTCTGGGACTTGAAGCTATTTAATAAGTAGTTTAAGTATGGTAACAGTAACTGAAAAAGTAGCTTCTTCACATCAGCATACGTTTAAAAACATCGAAACGTATAACTGAATAGCTTTTGCCAACCATGGGCTTGAAATGGATGCTACCTCCATTTGTGTGTTAAAATCCAGTGAAACATTTAGAAAGTTTGCATCATGGTCGTTGTCGTTGCTGAAATATTTTTCAGGCAAGCACCAATACATTTGTCAATACTAAGTGCATATGAGACTGGCATTATTCATAATACGGGACAGTTTACAAACAGCATTTTTTCAGGTAACCACTCCCTTCTACAAGCGTCCGAATGTGAAGCCGACCACACCCTTCCAACAGCTGACTACGCCTTCTCTCCTACAAAGGCCTAACAGCAAGCCTGCAACACCACATGTCAACACTATTCCTGCCCTCTCAAAACCTGTGCCAATCAAGTATGTCGGAGCGCCTGGACGGCCTCTCCGTACCACTCCCTCACCAATAACTAGGCCACCGCCCACCACCTTACCAACCACTCCTGAAACTACCACTTCTCTAACTACCACCACGACAAGACAATCCGCCGCAGCACACTTACCAAAACCTCAGAAAACAGCGTCACCAGGTAATCGCTATGAAATACGTACATTTTTCGCTTTTTCGTGTGCACGACAAGACTTTTTTTGAAGGAGTAATATATTAGTTTTGTAAAGGGAGAGACGCCTCATGAAAACAACTATTTGTTATGGAAATAATCTGTTTCGATTCCTTGATATTTTGGCCTTCTGCTTCTTAATTATTGACCATCAAGACGAAGTAATTTTTTGTTGCATTCAATCAGACCCCAAATTTCTTGGACTGACAATTCGCTATGTAGCGATGCAGTTTCTAGGCTAGCCTGGTCCAATTTTTTTGGTCGATATTGACACAATTGTCGTCCGAACACCACTAATCTACAAGAACTGGCCATGGAAGCATATCTAAAAATATTACTCCTTTACAATTTCTCAACTCGTAGAGATTTTGTTAAACACATACTCAAATGTCGCCAGGAGCGGTGCTGCGGTTGGACGAGTGGACCGCAGCGGCCTCGCTAGGTATGCGGTGTGTGTCTGACCGCCAGTGCCGCGCGGCCGACCCTGCGTCCCGCTGTGTAGCCGGGGTGTGTGACTGTGCTGTCCGCAACTACACGGGCTGCAGCGCCGCAAACACCGGCTGTCACACCGACACCTTCCAGGTAACATATGCCACTGTGTGGAGAGAAACTTTAGTTATTTTTTATCGTTGCTTTTTTGGTAGGAAGGTTGTAAAGTGAATAATCTGTAATTATAATGTAATGACCTTAAAGGTGGGGAAACCGTAAAATCACTACAATAGAATTGATAATAGCTTTTACATTCTTTGAACTCATTGTTTCCTTTGCCAGTTTTGTCAACACGAATTGATCTGTTAATTTAGAGGTTTGTTGGTGTCCAGTGTAGGGCGACTGGCCAATGCATCAGTTGGTACTTCGTGTGCGACGGCCGTGCCGACTGCGCCGACGGGTCAGATGAGGCGTGTAGCGGAGACGTCTGTCCCCCTGGGAGCTTCAGGTGCTGGCGGAGTGGCGGCGGCGGCCGGTGCGTGTCTGGAGCGGCACGCTGTGACGGCAAACGGGACTGTCCTCGTGGTGAGGACGAGATCAACTGTAGGGATGTCAACGGTGCTGGTGAGTACAGGATTCAAATCACAGCCAGCTGATACCGCTGAATGATATTCTCTCTCCAAATTTGATTAGATTTCTTATTTTAATTTATTTGAACCACGACGATGGTCTAGTTTTGACCTGAGAAATGTGAAATGATACTGCATAGTGTATCTAATCTATATATAGGGTGTCCCACGAAGGGGTTTAAACGTTTGATTTTATATTACGCGCCCATTCATGCACCGAACTTTTTGAAACTTTACACAGTTTACAAGGTAGGTTCAGAGGTGCCCATCCCCCCCAAACCCAGAGGCGCAGTCCCCCCCCCCCAAGCCAAAGGAGTAGTCCCCCCCCCCAATTTATGCTGCCGTATATTTAAACCCAAAACTACCCTCCCACCACCAATTTATATGACAATTTTCCCTTTACCTCATAAAACGAGCATTTCAAGCATTCAGTAAACTTGAGGTACGAAAAACAAACTTGCTGATAATAAAAATTAAATGTTTATAGGAAACGTCATTTAACAATACATCATTATATCTAACTAATAGACGGATTATAGGTCGGCCGCTTAGAAAACGACCTCCTCCAGCATTGGTTTAGCATTAGCGCGCAGGTCGTTTTCTAAGCGGCCGAACTATAGAAGTTTTTCAATTTACAATTCAGAATCTGTATTGTCAGCCAACATGTGCTCAGTATTGCAATAGACAACGTCTTCAAAATGTACAAAAATATACTCTGTGAATTACTCTACTCCAACACAGTACTGTAATAGTACAATATATTAGGTGGCGTTAATGCAAAATTCAAACCGCTTTAAGTGCATTAATACTTTTGGAAAAAGTATCTTGTTTCAAAATTATAGGCAGAGTCACGAAATAAGACAGACTTGTTGCTCGCCACTCCCAGTCTGCCTTCTACAAAAATCGCCGGGCAAAATACCCACAATACCTTAATTGCCACCAGTACAAAAGGTTTTTGTGACGAAGTAATCTTATAATTTATTTTGATAGCCCCGGGATTGCCTTTTATGACTAATAATGGAAGAAACACATCTTGTCAGACAATCCATTTGTACAAAAAACACGAAACTATAACAGATAGGCCTATCAATTCACGCTTGTATATTGCCGCGGAGAGGACTGGAAGTAAACTGAATCAGGTTATAACAGGACGTGGTCTCTATTGTCGTCTGTGTTATCAAAAGCTGATATTGGACTAATTGTAGTGACGGAGGAGAGTGTTGAAAATATAATGGGATTCATAGTTGAGTTTTCCATTCAAAATTATTTGACAATAATAACCAATTTATTTGCTGGATATATGATGGTCTCGAAATTCTACAGTACTGCGCGAAAGGAAATTTATTAAATACTTTTTTTTTTAGTGAAAACACTCAATTTATTATGAATCCCATATTTTCAACACTCTTCTCAGTCACTACAATAGTCAATACGTAGTCCAATATCAGCTGTTCAAAACGCAGACGACAATCCAGAGACCACGTCGGTCCGTCACAACCTGAACCTGATTCAGTTTACTTCCAGTCCTACCGACGGCCGACGGCAATGTACACGCGTGAATTGATAGGCTTATCTGTAATCGTTTCGTGTTTTGTGTTAAATGTTTGTAACGTATTCTGACGACTCCTCCAGAAGTGGATCTTTTGTAAATCCTGACAATGGTGGAGTTAAAAAAAACACAAAAACATAGGGCCTATGTAGCAAGTAAAATTCTACACTGGCATGTTAAGGATTGTCTGACAAAGTGTGTTTTTACCATTCTTAGAAGCAATCTTAATTACGAACGGTAAAATGTTGTTGGTGTTGATAGTGAGCAACTAAGAAACACTTCTTCGGGCTGTTTATACAAAATTATACATTCATTATGACATCTAGCAAAAAAATATTCCCCCCAAAATCTCCTAAAAAAAATTCCCCCCCAAAAATTCCTGTGGCGCAAACGCGCCACAGTATCCCCCCTCTGGGCACCCCTGGGTAGGTTTTAAAAATATTCTGGAAAAATTTCAACTCCCTAACCTTAGAAGAAACAAAATGGCGGCATATTGAAAAAGTTACTTTAAAACATTAAAAAAGGTATTTTTGGTTATATAAAATATTTGTATTGTTACTTTCCAGGGCAATATGACTTAAAAATATATAGAATGATATATAGATATATAGAATATGATATAAATGATATATAGAATAAATAGAACATAGCCAAATGGAAAACTAAAAATTAATCAAACAACTAATAAATAATAATAATAAATAAATAACTAATAATAAATCATGAAAGTAGTTTTTATAGAAAGCACATTGGTAAATTTGTCAATAAGCCGCCATTTTGTTTCTACTAAGGTTAGGGAGTTGAAATTTTTCCAGAATATTTTTAGAACCTACTTTGTAAACTGTGTAAAGTTTAAAAAGGTTTGGTGCATGAATGAGCACGTAATATAAAATCAAACGTTTAAACCCCTTCGTGGGACACCCGGTATAAAGCCAAAAGTACCCATGAACTTTTGAGAAAACTACAAGTCACACCCCCATAAACCATATACTTAAAATGTTCGTCATGACGAGAAACTTTGCGCAAAACTATCGATTATTTCATAAATTGCCCTTTAAGGTCGTAATTCCTTTCTAAAGGGAACTTTCCATATACCTAATGTTAAAAATACCCCAGCTGTACTTATCTATCTATATATATAAACGAGATATAACGTAAAATATCCACCATAAGAAATGCATGGGGACTGAAAGACGTCTGCATTCTATCAGCTGTTACATATTTATTTGCAATGTTTACATTTATTCCGAAAGTCAATGTTGGTAAATAATGTTTCAAAATGAATTGTGTTTAATTTTTTTGTTTTCCGTTTTTATAATAAGTGACGTAACTAGACAGGGTAGGCGAAGACCTGCAAGACGTGGAAGAGTGTCCAGGAATTCAACAGACTTAAGAAATGCAAAAGAGAACATCGTGTAGGGCCTAAATGTGAAAGAAATCCAGAAGCTGTTTTACAACCTGTCTTTAGAAGAACGCTGGAAAATGAGTTGAGTTGTTTCTCACAATCTAGGTCATCTTAAAGCGCTTGCATGCATTGTGGTGCATTTCACATTTCACTTCGCAGAGGAGGCCACAAATGGACATTTCAACGCATGTTGCCACAATGGACATGCCACAACCACAAGTAAATGACGAACTAACTGTTTTTACATGATTCGAACTTCATAAAAAACATAAGGCAATACAACAGTGCAATGGGTATTGCGTCGCACACAAAAAGAGATTCCGGGAAATGGGCCTTACGGTCTTAAAATTCAGGGACAAATTCATAGATACCTTAAAAGAGAACCGGGATTTTAAAAGGTAATTGCTTGGATACTATTCAAAGTAGCTAATCGTTATATACGTCAAATTGAAGCTACTATAACTAAGTTTTGTTTCCCGTGTAGCAAGGGAGAGAACTTTGACCTTGGCATGCGTAAAAAAGGAGCGGGGTGTTAGGCTGCTATTGCGACTCATACGCCTGACGCCAGTCGCCAGTACGACGTTTACGGCGCAACAGAAGGCACAGATTGTAATCTGTAGTTCGCAGAGTTTATATCCATTGCTAAATTAAACTAAATTTAAATCTACTTGATGATAACGAAACTGTAAGCTGGTTTAATGGGTTTCGTGGCACCGAAGTGTTTTGAAAAGACATTCACCTGGCCGGCTAAAACAATCGATGATATAGACGAAGAAATCCGACAATTCTGCATCAGAGGCCCGAAAAAATCGGTTGCCCGACGAAGTCTTCAGTTCAACACACCTAAATTTGTCGCTTTATGATATTATCTATAAAATATAGAGTCTTTGTGTCGAAAAATATTCAGTCAAGACATCATATAAACCGCTGATCGCCCTAAGCGTCAGACTTTGCCAGTTTAAAGCCGGGTTTACACTATGTAGCAAAACCTGCTATATAACTTTTGCTATATAACATTGTTATATAACTTTTGCTATATAACATTGCTATACAAAAAAGTTACAGACAATTTTAGTGATTCCGGTGCTCGAGCTATATGTTATATGTAGCACAACTTCATTCGTATCTGTATCGAAAAGTCACGCCGTAGAGGCTGCTGCTCGCGGTAGCTATCACGGCGATCCTTAGGTTTTTTTGGAAGTCAGAGGCGGAAGCAAAGGTTTTAGGTTCGACCGCTTCTTCCTCCGATAAATAAGTACAGTGTAGCAGATTTATCATGGGACCTTAATGATGACGATCACGCTGACGATCCATAATTAAGACGCGAAATAAGGCTACGAAAAAGTAGCCTCAAAAACGTTTTACGTATTACCACAACACCGGTATTCCACGGAACAGTTCAATTAAAGTTTATAATAGTATTCCGATCCCCCGCACTGTCACTTTCCAGTCCTTCCATTGTAAACAAAGATTGCTGAGCAAAAACGTCCGTACACAGGAGGCTACAACTGTGAACTGATGACACTAAATGCTACATATAGCATGTAGCAGATGCTAGACGTAAAATATTTGTATAACATTGCTACATATAGCAATGTTAGATGTAGCAAGTATTTCTTTTGATCTTTACCGACTCCCAATGGATAGCACAATTTTTGCTATATTTAGCAGGATCTGCTACATATAGCAGTGTTATATAGCACTTTTGAAAAGTAACTTTTTCTACTTCTGATGTTACACAAATCTGCTATATAGCAGGTTTTGCTACATAGTGTAAACCCGGCTTAACGCTCATATAAGATTGATGAAAATCTGAATGTTATTAAATCATTCCGAATTGTATGAAAGAATTAGAAAAAAAAACTTTATTCTTTTCCCTTCAATTTGACGTTTAAATCGTCTAATTATATTGAATAGTCCCCGAGCAACAACCGTTTGAAATCCCGGCATTGTTTTAAGAACACCATGTATATCTGACTTACCTCCGCCAAATGGGGAGTTGCCTTCATAATAATTGATACTAATTTTAATCTCTACATTT